ACATATTTGCAGTTGTAGAAGATGGGATTTAACTGGCATTCCATATGCTCATGCCATTTCAACCATTTGGTGGGAAGGGGGTTCACCAGAGGATTATACACACCATTGTTACACAGTAGAATCATATCTTAGCACCTATGAGCATGTTATCATGCCCATAACTTCTTCTGAAATGTGGCAAAAAACTGATTTACCACCACCTCTTCCTCCCAAATACAAAGCACAACCTAGTAGACCTAAGAAACTCAGAAAAAAAAGAGATAAATCAAAGAAAGAAACCAGCAAGTCCACAACAGAATTGGGGAAGAAGGGGCAGAAAAAGAGGTGCTTAGTGTGTGGAAAAACAGGCCACAACAAATCCACTTGTAACAAAAATAAAACCCCTACAACATCGGTATAACATTTGTTAAGTTCTCAAACATTTTTTCTAGTGTACTATAAACTGACTTAATCTTTTAATGTGCATGTAGAGTTCTCAACAAGTTCAACAACAAATCCATAGAGATGAGAATTCAATTTCAATGGTAGCTGAACAATTTCATGGATATCAGAATTCAATTCCAGTGGTAGTTCAGCAAGTTCAACAGCAATTTTATGGAGATCTGAACTTTCCATTGATGCAATATGGTCACCAACATGAAGTAAGGTTACTTATCATTAGCAGAATTTTCAGTATAATAACCTTTAATCTTTAGTTCAGTTTGTTAAATATCAAGCTAACAATTTGCAGGCAATTAGTAGCTCTCAACCTCCATCTGTAGATAGCCAATGCAGCTATGCGCATTCAAATATCTGATCTTTGTAAGCAGCCAAGGAAAGCCTGTTGGAACTCCGTTGGTGTAAACAAATAATAATCCCACAAAAAAATTATTATTTTCCTGTAGAAAAAGGGAAGGAAAGATGAAGAGATTGGCTCGTGTTTGGTGTAGGATTTTTAGCAAGAGTAAAGCGATCACTCTTTCCTTAAAACTTTATTTGCTACATCCCACAAGTGCTAGGAGCATTGAGCGTATGCTTCCCAGGATAAAACTTGCTACGATTCAATGTTTGAGCACCCAAACAAGGAATCTGGCGAACTAGAGCAACGAGATGAACACAATTAAGCTAAGAAGAGAGTAGAAGCAGAGAGTTTTGAGGCTAGAAAAAATATGATTTCTGTGTTGTGTAAAATCTGCTGCATCTACCCTCTCTTATATAGGGTTGAAGGAATTCAATAGCATTCAAAATGACTAATAACACCCATGTAACAACACCACTAACCTGAGAATTAATTATGTAATTTAAAATTGGATTTAATATGAAATTAAATCCGTAACAGCTGAAATGTACCCTTCCGGTAGACGTGCACCGCTCACGAACTGCCGCAACTTCAGATGCACCACAGGTGCCAGTTGCGCACACGCGCAAGAGAGAGAACCTCTAGGCTATACAATTCAATAAGCCTTAAAAGAGCTCTTGAAAAATAGTGGGACAAATCCTCTTCCCAAACCAATGTGTGACAAAAGCTTTACTTTTTCCCTTCATTTTTCCAACTCAATGTGTGTTTTTTGAGAATCGATATCTCATTCACCCATTATCCGTTTTGAGCGTACAATATATCAATCTCTTCGTCTCAATACGAAGAACCCGAATTCACTTTGACCCGACTCATTTCGGAAGTGGACCCCACTGATAATTGTACCATAAAATAACCACTTAACATGCCATTTTATGCAATTTTAAGCTATTTTTTTCCAACAAAGCCAATAGGAAGCAACATTATATTTCAGAAGTCATTAGAAAATAGAATATTTAATGAATGTATTTTGGATACAACTTTTTAATGCATTATGGAATTTTGGTCAACTTTTTTTTTTTTTTTTGGTCTGCACTTCTATTTTATATATTCTGACTTCAATTAGAAGTGCAAAAATTACTGATGTGCTTAAATCATATTTTGTTTTTTATGATAGACAATAATGTGATTTGGAGGTTATGTACAAAATGCCATGTAATTTTTGGGAAATGGTTGTATTTTGCATTTTATAATAAAAGAAGGAAAGCAAGTGAATTTATGTGTATTTAGTAATGACTTTGGTTTGCAATATAACTGTGCATTTTACCGCATCAATAATGACTAAGGGAAACTCTGGAATTAGGGCGTAGAGGACTAAGGGAAACTCTGTAATTACTAATTAGGTCGTAGAGTACTAGAGTATATTAGGGCGTTGGGTGGGGTCGTCCATCCTTACCCAATCGCTATACCGTGCACCAGGGCGCACATAGCAATGTGCGCGGGCGCCTCCCAAAACGACGTCGTTTTAGTAAGTTCTGTATTTTCAGGTATAAAATTCTTTGTGCATTCTATTATATAATTCTGTACATTCTATTATATAATTTTGTACATTCGAAACATGAGAATTTTCAGTTATAAAATTATGTATTTTCAGGTATAAAATTATGTTCATTCTATTATATAATTTTGTACATTCGAAACATGGGAATTTTCAGTTTTAAAATTCTATGTTTTCAGGTATAAAATTCTGTGTTTTCAAATATAAAATTATGTGTATTCTATTATACAATTCTATACATTCGAACATGAAATTTTTGTTAAGGAGTTAACAGCAGACACACGAAAAGGTTCAAAACAACGTCGTTTTTTGCCAGGTATAATTTGCCATTTTTACCCTCATATTTAACCGCATTAACACTTATTTAATGGGGAAGAAGAAAAATAGTCATTTCAAAAATAATTGAGGGGATAAAATGATTACATAAACAACATATAAAAAATGTGTTATAAGTAAATAACATTAGGGAAAAAGTGCCATTTTCCCATCCAAAAAAACCTTAGTATAGTGGTTTTTTTTTTTTTTTTTTTTTGAAATACTCTAGTATAGTGGCTTTAGATAGATAGATTAGATAGATTAGATTTGTAGATATTTGTATCCTGGAGAACTTTTCCCGCTGTGTGTGTTTTGCTTCACACCTTCAGCCTACTCCGTCTTCACTCTTCAGAGCGAGTAGAGTGCGCCATAGCCCGCAGTCCGCCGCAGCAGCGAGCCAGCAGCTCCGCCGTACCGCCGCCTCTGCGCGATCGCAGACTACAGCTCCGTCGTCAGTCGTGAAGCAGCAGCTCCTCGCCTCCTCAGGTTCGAAATTTCGAAGTTAAACCTGTACTAATTCCATTAGTCCCTAAATATTGTATGAATTTTTCTTATTATATTTGTCAATTGTTAAAATTAATTGGTGAAATTTATTTATAATATATGAATTGTGAATTGTGAATTGTGAAATTCCTTTGATGTTTATGTTTTGACTTCAATACTTCATGCCAAATGGCACTTCTCGAAAGGCCGACTTTGGAATCTTCTGAGATCATAGATCTGGGATACTGTATTTATTATAGCAACATTTGTCTTAGGGAAGTGAAAATTGAAATGATCATATATATATATATATATATATATATGATGTGTGTGTGTGTTACATAAACAAGATTTGAGAACAAAAGAAAGGACAAACTCTGCCTGCCTACATTCTTGTCTATTACTCTTTTTATTGTTGTCTACTATTCATTGTTCAAGTCTTTCCTCTTTGTTTACTATTCAATAGTTCACACTATGAAGACGCTAGAATTAACCTGAAGCCAGAAAAAAATTTAATTGGGATAATCAGAGATCGATTGCAAAATAGAAAGAAGAGGAATTGTGGAGTGGTGAATTTTTAATTGTTTATTTTCAATTAATTGGTAATGCAATTGGTAATTTGTAAATTATTATGTAACGGAATACGAAGTATATTTTTTGAATCGTTTTATTGGCGTCTGATATTTTGTCATGGACTTTTTTGAATTGCTTGAACTTTGCCCCTACTCAAGTTTTTTCCTGGCTTCGCCTCCGCTTGTACAGGAATTTCTGTACTGCCTGGACACAGAGACACAGAGGCTTCCAACAACAAAAAAGAGCAGTCAATTCACGGATCAAAGCTCGAGCTTTCTGATATCCATTATGCCAATCAAATGGTATCTATTTTACTGTTTTATTTATCCAGTTTTATTTTTCTTCTTCTGAAATGGAATCAAGCTTTTCACTGATTTATTATCTCGATTGGCTTCAATTGAGTATGCCGATAACTGTGTTTTGGTTTATGTGTGAATGTGTACATGTATGCCACTATCTGTATCTGGGTAAGGGTTTGCTTGTTTATTTTCTGGTCATTTTGATGAGCTTCATTTTGCGTTACACAACTCTCTGTATATGTGTGTTAAGAGTCCCACATTAAAAAATAAGAGAGAAACTTATGGGTTTATAATGTTATTGGGTTAGACTAGCTAATTGATTGGATTCAATCTTTTAGTGTGGTTTGACCCATGTGCATTACAACCCAGTCGAGTGACCTCAACCCAATCTCAGAGATTCTAACGATATCTGTATGTAGTAAAGTGTTTGTTTGTTTATTGCTAGGGTTTTGCACTGGCAACCAAATGCTGGCACAACAGTGAACACCCAAATCCTGACTGAGGTTTCTCAGTGTGTTGAAGGCATTAATGGAGTCAAGGAAGGAAGGTGGAAAGCTACTCTAAGCTTCTACAAGCCAATGCTCAAAGGTTAGGGCTTTTCTATTTCACACTTTGATCACAAAAGTGATCTTTCTTATTATTGCACCGTATAATAATCATATAGATATGTGTATTAAATGAAAATGGTATTTGTAAAAAAACAAAATTCAATTTTTGACAGATCCAACACCCCAACCCTTTAAAGGAAAGAGAAAAAAAACCAAAACATGTGTGAGAGATTTAATTATTTGTGTACATTAAAGAATCTGTAATTCTGCTTTTGAAGTTTTACGCAAAATTGCAGCGTTAAATGAATATGGCAATTTGGTTTATTTATTCATTTATTGATAATAAATGGATTCACAATTTAGGAGAGAATATTGTGAAAAGATTAGAATGGAAAATAGCATATTAGGAAGTAACATTTTATATATGCTACATACTAGTACTAGAGATAATTGCTTCCATGCTTGTTTCAATCTCTATCTGAATTATGCAGTTGCATTTTCTGAAACTATTAAACATATTTGTCTATAAGTTTTTTTATGTGCTCTAGTAATTTTTTTTTACTGGTTTTCCTTACCAGACATAGCTAATGCAAATGAATTTCCGCGTGACTTTTGGGGGATTGCACTTCAAGAGCAGCCTGACAAGTATTACTTTGTCATTAGAGGGCAACGGCTAGTTATGGAAGCGGAATCATCAATTCAGAACATAATGGAGAAGCTTCAGTCTTATAAAACTCGGGTTGCACTTAATTTTGAGGTAGCTTGGATTGTGCAATTCATGAACTCCAAATTTCTCATTGTGTCGCAAAATCTATGATTGAATTGAAAAGCACATTTAAAAAATAAATTCATTTAATTATTAGGTGCACATGATTCACCCTGGCAGAACTGGTGTGGGATTGATAGCCAGGCTATGACTACTTGCTTTTATTACTTTTTCACAAGGCCTAATACTGTATTGTCCTCATTTGAGTAACTTAATAATACAAACAAATACTAAATAGGCTGGAGAACGGTTTTATCGTTTTGAGCAAGTTCCGTTGTGTAAGCATGGCAAAGGAAATTTACAAACAATTTGTTGCCTCATTTGCCACTCTTTCATTGTCTTATTTTATTGTATTTTATTTTAATGAGACCCATTGCATATTTTCACATCTGTTCTATATTAGTTCATACAATTTTTGGCTTTCTTGCTAAGGTATCTTTATTATATTCAGGGGTTTCAATACCAACTTGGTGACTTCCGGCTGCGAGTGGGAAAAGTTGTCCCAATCCACTCTGAGAGCTTGAGGGGAATAGTTATGGAGGTACACATTTTCCTTCTTTTTTTTTTTTTTTTTTTTTTTTCTTTCTTTCTTTCTTTCTTTCTTGCACATACTTTTTGGGTTATATCCTGATTCCTGAACCCATTGACTTGGGGTTCGTATTCGAGGTTGTCTTGGTCACCTTTTCTTTGATTTCCTGGGAGATGAGTTTAGGCCAGTTTGGAACTATGAATTTTCTTTGAATTGATTCCTTTTAGTCTTCCCACATTCCAAAAAATAAAAATAAAAAGGGAATACTTCTACAATTTTGTCTATTGTTTCTGACCATATTTTCTTAAACCCAGCTTTGTGGGAAATTTTAAATATATTTTTCTGCTAATGGTGATAACTGAAAGTCTGAAACAGTAACTATACTGACATTGTACTTTTATTGGAGTTGAGATCTTCAAGTGCTTATGACTCTTGGCATTAAAAACTACACAAAAAAGGAATAGTGTTACATATATATTAGGAGTTCTACTACATGTACTCCCAAATTCTACTCTCTCACTTTTACTCCATGATGTGGCAAACATAGATAAGCTATTTTTATCATGTGGATCCCAAGAAAAATGTCTACATCAAGAATTTGAAAGTGAGAGTAGAACTTGGGAGTAAAAAATGAGAGTCCACATAGTATTTTCCATATATTTGCCAAGGGCAAAGAGAATAGTTGAGAATGTCCACAGTACAAATAAGAATTCCTGTTTGGAGGTCAATTCATGTGTGTATTGGGATTAAAGAAAAGGTAATAATGTAATCCTTATGTGATTTAAGAACGATGTAGATAAAAACTAGAATATAGAATAAGTAGTTTGAATTGGTGTGCTAACTCAAGTACATCAGTTTAATTATATATTCCACTAAGAGAAGAAAACAAAATGAATTATGTAATCTTTAAGTGGTAGTTCAGGTGTATAGTTTAGTGGTAAGTTATATCTCTTTCCGGGCCTAAAGAGTAATTGCTGGGATCAAGTCAAATCAAAGGAAACGAGATTATTTTGGTTTAAGTGGTAGATGGCTGGCAGATTACCAATAAGCATAATGTTTGTTTTCTTACAGATGGAGTATCTTCCCATTTCTTCATGGGAAACATCACACCAAATCATGGGCGAGTTCTTTGATATCTGGAAGGATGCTCTCTCAAAGAGATCATTACCAGGTCATTTTATGCATATCGAACCAAACTTCACAGAGTTTGGCCTTCCCGATCAGTATACTTCTCAACACACAGCTGTTCAGTATGCTTGTATCATGGCTCAAATGATAGCCACAGCTCAGTCAGCCGCCCAGATGAGAAACTAGACAAGGCAAGATCCTTGTTCCATGTAGTCTTCTTAGATGTTGTGTTTGTACAATCTGAGTATGAACCTTCTTTTGCATTTCAATGGGGATTCAAGCATAGATTGATAGTAACTATCACTCTTTTATAAAAGCCCGAAGTTGGTTTCAGATTGTTAAGAGTCCCACCTTGAAAAAAATAAGGGAGAACATATGAGTTTATCAGGTCATGGGTTAGACTAGCTAATTGATTGGATTCAATCATTCAATATTTTAGTGTGGTTTGACCCATGTACATTAATTGAGTGATCTTGGCCCAATCTTAGATTATAACATTATATCAGAGCATGTTCGGTCCACTTTGTGTCTACCCATAGTATTGATGGCCCAATATTAGATTATAACACAGATCTTTCATTGTTCAAGCTAGGAGGATCATAGCTCTTTTTTGAAGGGTACTGACTTGTACAGTTGTACATGTCTAACCAAGCAGCTTCAAATATGCATATCCAACAAGGCTAATCTTGTTTTCTGCACTGTTGTATCTTTTATTTGAGCTGCTTTCACTTCCCCCAAAGAGGACTGATGATTCAAAAAATATAACAACATTTTGAATTCAATCTTAGGATACACTTAATAAAAACAACTTGTTTCTACATCATTTATATACACAATCAGCAAACCACTATTTACATAACCTCTTGTGATGAGGTTAGGGAGTTAATCCCGGATATGCAATTAGCAACCGTTAATACTGTGGATCATGGTTTACATTCCAAGTTGAACCGTTGACATATATGTTTAATTTTAGTATATTGTAGGTTCATTTTTATTGTATTACATGTTTATTTTAGTAAATTCATTTTAATGTATTGCAAGTTCAATTTTAATGTATTACTTAAAAATGAATTTATAATATACCAAAACTCAGGCGGATCATGCGCTAGCTAAACGCAATATGTAGTGTACTACAATGGTTGTACACACTGATTGCTCGGTTCTGCATTGCTTTGTTACCACTATGGTTGCTAAGCCGAGATCCTATGGTGGGATTGTGAATTGTGATTGACGAGTGTTTACGGCTTATGTCATTGTTTAATTCTTGTTCTTTACTTTTGATTCCTAGACAATTAAATTTGATTGTGCATACTTTAGCTTCGCAGGACTCTGGCCAGGCTAGTTTTATGTACTGGGACTCTGTCCCACCTGACTTTGTTCTTGCTCTTTTGAGTTAATATATGCTAGCTGTTTATTGCTTTCAAAAAAAATGTTTAAAACATAATCCCATTTACTTGAAAACGATAAGAAAGGAAGGATCCAAGTCGGGCCTACAATCACAGGGACGGGTGGATTTTCTGGTAGGGGGTTAGTACGAGTCGAGCAAAGCACTCTTTCCTTAAAACCTTATTTGCTACCCCTTAAAACTGCTAGGAGCATTGTAGCTTTGGTTTCTCAGGATAAAACGTACTACGGTTCTAAGTTTTGTGCATTCAAACTTAGAACCCGGCGAAGTAGAGCGTTGGAAGAACACATATGGCAAGAAAGAAAAAGAGCAGGGTTCGAGAGGGAAAAGCTACAAATTTCAATATGTCAAATCACATGCTCAACTATAACTTATATAGGAGTTGAAGGATTAAATAGCATTTAATTCATGGCATTAAAATTGATATTAAATCAGTTATGTAACCCCTGTAACAGCAGACCACACCCTGAGAATTAATTTTGTAATTCAAAATGAATTCCGTAATTGATGAATTAAGACTTAGAACGGTCGCTCCTCGAGTCGTACTTACAAGCCAAGACGAGGTGTCCGAGAGGTTGCCAGCGAATGGCGAGTCGAGCCAACGAATCCATACGTAACAAGGGAAATCACATAATTACTGATGAACATTAACTCTTCGTGGAAGTTATTATGACATAGAACAATTCAATTATAGTCACAAAGTAGAATCCACTAAATATCAAATTAAATGTTAAGTCTCAACAAAACTTACCCTCTCTTGGCAATGGTTGAGAGATATTTATAGATTTTAGAGAACTCTGAAGAAGGCATTTTAACAATGGCCTGATAATCTTCTACTAAATTATCATTGATTAAGCTCTGATAGAAAGTGATATCGGAGCGGTATCATTCTTTGGGTTGGTAATTCATATGTCACTAGCGCAATCAATTTTATAACGGTTGCATCCTTTGTCTACATATAACACATAAAAGCACATTTTAAGGACTCCAACAATATTCACAAACAAAGATTCAACCTAATCCTACCTTGACCACTGTGGCATTTTGCTTGCATAGCACATCTGCATGTCCAGTAAAACCATTTGTTTTGAAATGTACACATTCGTTGTCCATAGAGATAGCAACTGCAGAAACACGCGCTTACTAAACATGTTAACAGAAAAAGTGATATCCAAATGAAGAACCTGAACATGTTTATTCACCATGTTTGTGTACACTACAGTTGATATAACCCTGCCTTCAATGGCAGGGCTTCTATACATGAATTTGATTACTAAATTATGTAAACTCGACGCCACCCGCTTCTCACTGTCCTTACAAGGCTTTAAAAACAATTTGATTCATATAAGTGCCGACTAAATTTTACTTTCACCAGTTTCAAATCCTAATCCATACGTAACAACAGAAATCAGCATAATTACTGATGTACATTAACTCTTCGGGAATGTTATTATGACATAGAACAATTCAACTATAGTCACAAAGTAGAATCCACTGAATATGAAATCAAATGTTAAGTCTCAACACAACTTACCTCTCTTGGCAATGGTTGAGAGAAATTTGTAGATTTTAGAGAACTCCGAAGAAGGCATTTTAACAATGGCTTGATAATCTTCTACTAGATTGGTGATTGCGTATCTCTCTCAAAGTGAATAAACTTCATCTGGAACTCAGTTATCTTATCCTCAGCTAAACTCAATTGCATTAAATAAAATAAAATAAAATTTAAAAAAAAAAAAAAAACAAAACAAATCAGTCAAATAAACCACAGATTGTAAAGGCAAATTTGAATACGTACTTTCAAGTTTATAATCAACAAATAAAGCTAAAATTAAGTAATATAACTTACCGGGGCTTATAGCTTTGAAAGTGATCACACCTATGCCATTGTTGACCTCAACCGAGATGGCGTCCTCTTTGCCTACACATTTGAACTATCTTAGCCATGTCCTTGATGTTAAGCGACAGGTAAAAGTCTGTATCACAACTGTATCGTCTGAACCCCTGAGATAGAAGGAGCATATCAACACTGCACACGGCCGAAGTGTCCTTCCCGATCATGGTTACACTTGTTGATGAACAGGTGAACCTAGCGTTCTCTATGAAGTCCTTCATTGATTCCGCAATTCTCCTCAGCAAATAGCCTTGAACAAGATAAAATTTGACCATTTTAGTAGATTTGGAATTTGTAAAAAGTTTAAGGAGCCAGAGAGAGAAAAAAACACAAATGAGGCAAGTGGAGAAAACACAAATGTCAATCGGGGTCTATATGGAAGTCAGAAGAGGTTGCGGAGTTTTAGGGCGGGAATAAAAATTACTCAGGGAATAACACTATTTGAAATTTCTCATTTCTCATGTAAATAATTTTCCTAAAAATAATACTGGAGTAATAATTTTTTAATATTTGGTTGAAGTTCAAAAAAATTATATATTTTTTTATTTGGCTGAAATTTCTCTTAGTTATTATTCATATTATTGTAATTATAATATATATGAAATACAATTAGTAATAAATCAATTTAATTATATAAATTTTCTCTATAAATTTATCTAAATATGTATATGATAAGAGAATATATTAAAGGAATAAAGTGTAATTGTTTTGATGAATCAAAAATGTAATTTTAGTAGACCCCTATTTGATTTTTAGTCTAGAAGGTTATTTTCCATAGTGGAGCGAAGCCAAAATTTCGTAGATATTGGCCCTGTTTGGTAAATGGCTACTACTTGATTGGGTTAATTAGAGGGTATAACTAGTTGATAACATTAGCTGATTGTAGAAAGGTGTTTGGTAAATTATCTGTTAGCCGATAGCTGTTTGGTATAATTTCTTTTCTCCAAAAGCTAATTGAAAAAGTTTATTCGGGTATGGTAGGGTATATCCCGACCGACATGCCACGTGTTTTCTTGTTGTTTGTGCAGGTTTACAGGTCGGATATTCCTGAAGGAAGTCGGTCGAACCCGACCGGTGTATCTCCCGACCGAAATCTTCAACACCCGGTTGATAGCCCTTGAACGAGAGATCCGAGAAGAAGTACGTGGCAACGTTACACGTTGACAGGCAGGGCCCGCTAGGTGAAGACACGTGGGTGCTACGATGGTTACATGCCCGTGGCTATAAATACCCGCGGCGGCTACAGTGTGAGGGACTTTTGAGACGATCGATAGGCTATTTACAGAGCTGCCCGACCGCTGTCAGTCGGCCCTCGGAATAGTCATTTTAGATTGTATTAGGTCCTTTGCTGATCAATAACAAGACTTTATTTGCTTTGACTTGATCGCGTCTACTACCTTGACCGCATTACGTGGAATTTATACTATCATTTTGGCGCCGTCTGTGGGGACCCGAGTACGAAAGTTACGTTTGACGAGTACCGGTTCCGTCTATCACTATGTATCCTTATATGTACCAAATGGCCGAGGATGAGCAAGCCGATACAGCCAGTTCATCCGACTACCAACACACTCAATACCAAGGTCAGACCGTCGATCTAAACCTCAACCTATTACCACCTCATCCGCTGACCCAGAACCCGGTCGCCCAGCAACCGGTTAATTACATCCAACCGGGGTATCCACCTCCCGGTCCGCAGTATCCATTCCCCGTGCAATATCCATACCCGGTCCCTCCTCCACAGTATGGGTATTGGCCCGGCACACCAATGTACTATACACCGCCGACTGGTTACCCGCAATACATGCCTGTGCACACGGCTCCAGCTTCCGCTCCTCCGATTTACCCGACCAGGTCGACCGAGCCGGAGCTTTAGCCCGCCACCCTGGCTAGGCGCTCGGCTCGTTCGAGGTTAGGGTCGCAGGGTGCCGAGGCCATGGAGGAACCACGACAGGCTTCTCAGGTGCAACCGGAGGTGCAGGCTCGGGCGGAAGACCCGGAATTGGAAGCCAACTGGGCGATGGCATTCGAGCGGCTCCGTCCAGCAATGCGGCAGAGATTGGGACCGCAGGACCCGAGCAGGCGCTCGGTAGATTCGCCAATGCGAGCAGCCAGTCAGGAGGGGTCGTCTGGGCATAGTGGGTCCAAATCACATCGGCGACGCCGCGCTCGGGAACCAGCCCAGATGGTTGAGCACGATGAGACCCGAGAAATTCTCAACGAGCTCCGGGCAAAATTTACTCGTTGGCAACACGAGCACGCTGTGAGGCCTCCGTCCGATCAATCAGCCTCCCTATTGAGGACACCCTTCACGGCGGAGATAATGGCCCAGCCTTACTCGCTCGACTTGCAAGTCCCTGGCAACAAAGAGTATGATGGGCGTACAGACCCTGAGGTTCACGTCAACACCTACTACGGCAACATGTTGATGATGGGCGTGTCTGACGCTGTAATGTGCAGGGCTTTCTATTCCACGCTCACCGATCGGGCGGCGGAATGGTTTAGGTCACTTCAACCGAGTTCCATCGCTGACTTTGCCACCCTGGCAATGAAATTCAACCGGAAGTTTGTGACCTCCAGGGTCATCCGAAAGCCCTATATGTACCTGGAAAAGGCCAAGCAGTTAGAGGGGGAGAGCTTGTCCGAGTTTTTGATCAAGTGAAAAGCGGTTGTCGGGGAAGTTGAGCCGATGGACGATCTTACCGCCATCCACATGCTGCACATCTCCCTTCGGGCAGGTTATTTGTATCAGGATTTCATCCTCCACCCGCCGACCACTTATGAGGAAGCTCTCCGTCGAGTGACGGATTACGCCAATGCCGGAGAGGCGAACGCCGTCAAGTGATCGCAGGAGGTCGGGACTTCATCCGGGAAGCTCTCCTGTCGGGCGAAACATCGATCGGGTGATGACCATCCCTGACCCCGTACCCGGCCAGGGGAGTTTACGGCACTGAATCGATCCGCAGCGGAGGCCATGCAGTACGCCCAATCCTGCAATCTGATTTGTCTACCCCACCCCGGACAAGACGGGCCAGATAAGTCCAAACATTGCGCTTATCACTGTTGCGCTGGGCATGACACGGAAGAATGCACACAATTGAGGCAACTTTTGGAAGACCTGCTTAATTTGGGGAAGCTTGACAAATGTGTGGGCAAAAGAGAGGAGAGCAAGAAAGTTGCTGATCGAAGGGATCACAGACGTTCCCATCAACGTTCGGATCAGTCGGGTCAAGACCGTAAAGACCCCGACCCTCCATCCAGTAGCCGACCGACATCCAAACCGACCATTCATGTGATCTTTGGCGGTTTGGAGGACGCAACCCGACCCCGGGAGAGCTGCCCGGTCGCGATCGTAGACTCCCGTGAAATCGGAAAAAGGCAGAAGATGGAGCCTATCACCTTCTCTTTGGAGGACTAACCGGATAGTGGAGACCACGAGATGGAAGCCCTCGTGGTCAAGATTGATATAATGGGGACCGATGTCCACAGAGTCATGGTGGACACGGGGAGCAGTGTTAATGTCCTTTATTTGGACGTATTCGAGAAGCTAAAATTGGACAAGGAAGAGCTGATTCCGGTCGGCGTACCCTTGTCAGGATTCACCGGGGCCCTCATACGCCCCGAAGGGAAAATTAGGCTCCCGGTCGAAATCGGTACTCCCCCTAAATCTGTGAAGACCGAGTTAGAATTCGTTGGGGTCAATTTGCATTGCGTCCACAATGTTATCTTGGGCCGACCGACCATCATGAAGGTCGGCGGGATCATTTCCATGCCCCATCTAGAACAGGGTTGGAGTTGTACACGGTGATGTCTAATCTGCGAGGAAGTGTTACACCCGGGCTGTCAACAAGCGAGATGCTGGATCTTCCCAGGTGAACACCATTGTGAAGGAAACCACCAGTGATCGGAAGGAGCAACCCGAGCCTTCCGAGGAGATTGAAGAAGTTCCCTTGTCTGAGGAACGACCGGACAGGAAAATCAAAATTGGTCGGGCCCTCACCCCCGAGCTACGATTGGAAGTACTGGCAATCCTCCGGGAATTTGCCGATATCTTTGCGTGGGAGCCTGAAGACATGCCCGGGATCGATCGTACCGTGATTTGCCATAAGCTTGCTGTAGATCCCGCAGCAAAACCAGTCGTTCAGAAAACTCGGCATCTATCCTCCGATCGCCGAGAGTTTGTTAGAGAGGAGGTGAAAAAGATGGCAGCGATCGAGCACATTTGACCGGTCATCTATCCCGAATGGGTGGTAATATTGTTCTTGTTCCCAAGCCTCCATCTTAGAGGATGTGCATCGATTTCACCGATCTCAACAAAGCATGCCCGCTTGACCCATACCCGCTTCCGAGTATTCATCAGATGGTTGATGAGACGGCCGGGGCCGAGCTCATGAGTTTCATGGATGCATTCAAAGGGTACCATCAGATTATGATGCACCATGAAGATGAAAGCAAGACAGCCTTCGTCACACCGGATGGGTTGTATTGCTACCGAGTGATGTCGTTCGGTCTCCGCAATGCAGGGGTAACTTATCAGAGGATGGTCATAGGGGTGTGCAAACTTCGGATAATTTTCGGTTAACCGACCGAACCGACAAAGTTCAGTTAACCGTTTTCGAACCGAACTTTTTCGGTTCGGTTAATGGTTAAAGGAATTTTAAAACTTCGGTTAACGGTTAATTCGGTTCGAAAGGTCGGTTAACCGAACGGTTAACCGAAGTTTTTAATATATATATAAATAATAATACTAATTTGAAGTTATGGATGTTTGGAGTTTATAATTAATGT